GGGGGGGGGGGGGGGGGGGGGGGGGGGGGGGGGGGGGGCGGTAATCCGGCCAGAGCACCAACGCGAGGGAAGTTTAAATATATTGCGGTGCCGCGGCGATTCTGGGTTGTGTGCATATTCCACGCATCAGGATTTCGACAGGCAGTCGGAGCCGTGCGGGCGGAAAACGCGGCGCATCCAAGCGGGGGCGGGGTGTTGGTTCACGGAGACCTGTCTGGGAGGGTCATGGCTCCGGTCGGTGTTTGGCGAGAGGCCGTGGCTGGTGGCCGCCGGTCTCATGCAGCGATCACATTCGGGTTTGTCTTGCGAAGAGAGTCGTATGCATACACACGTAGGTACATATGCCATGCGCACGCGCATGCGCACGCAGGCACTACTAGCTTGAAGTTGGCGCGTCGTGTTTGGTTGGTGACGTGACGGATGATGATGATGATGATGATGATGATGGCGTTCTTTCTCTTTGGGTGTGTCGCTGCTCTCTCTCCTGGTCCTTGGTTCTTGCCGCAGGCCCATCACGTCGCCGAAAGACTTGGGTTCTGACGATGATGACGACGACGGCGTTCCAACGACACCAGGTTTTTAGAAAAGGACTCTTGTGGCATGTGCCCCTTTTTCCACGGAGCACACCCATTAGGTGGAGAGGCGGGCCGAGAGCGTGTGTCCAACCGTTTGCTGTGCCGTCCCAGTCTGCGAAGCAACTCGGGGCGGGAATTGACTCAGCGACGAGCGCTGTTGACTCTTTGGTATTTTTTGTTGATGATTTTTTTTCTGGGAAGAGCCTTCGGGCAGTTTGGTTCGGGCTGGGGGTGGGTGGGCCTCTCGTCGCCGGCTGTTGGTATAATGTGGCATGCAGAAGGCGTTGCAAGGAAAGGTAGTGCGCCACCGCTCGTGGTGATGATGATGATAATGATGCGTAGGTGGCGTTGTACAAGAAGGAAGGCAGTGCGCCACCGCTCGTGATGATGATGATGATGATGATGATGATGATGATGATGCGTAGGTGGCGTTGTACAACAAGGAAGGCATGCATGTGGGTGGATGGTTTTGTTGTCGAGAGTTTGACGGCGTTGTTGGTGTACGACAGCAGCACGGGGAGGAAAAAACGACGGGTGGGTACGATCGTACTACAGTAGTACTTGGCCTCCTCTCGTTCCTCTCTTTGTTGTTTTATCTTGAGAGGACATGTGTATGCGTACGCTGTGTGGTGGTGCTTGGTGTTTCGAGGGTAACGCGGATGGTGTAACGACGGGGGGGGGGGCGGTGCCTGGCAAACAAAGGCTACGGCGGCTTCCCCTCTTTCGTCACTTTCGTCGAGAGCACGCATGTTTTTTTTTTGTATTGTTTTTTTAGTGAGGTCTCGAAGAATATTGTGTTTCGCCTCTATTTCTTTTTTTCCCTCTGCATGGTTGCTGTGACCTTCCCCTGCCGTGTACGTTCTCCCCTTTTATTATGCTGCGAAGGTACATTGCTATGTGTTCCTACCGGCCAAAGTTGATGTGTAGGTCGAACCGGGTACTGTTCGCAAAACATATGAGGTGTTTTGGTTGTTATTCTGTGGGATATAATACACCAGATTTCTTTTTTTAAATCCTGAAAGAGGTGTACAACAAGCACGCCGGTCAGTCGATGTGCGAAGCATGCCTCTGGGCGGAGCAGAGCATGGTATACTTCAAACCTTTTGACGCGTGCATTCGGAAGACGTCGAGAGCGGGGTGCTGATATTCTCGTCCGCAACTTTTTTATGCTGTCACTCACTCGGAGAATGTTACAGTGAAGAGTCTCTACACCGGCTGCAGCTCTTTCGCACAACAAGCTTCACCATGTCCTTGTTGACGGCTCGTTTTAACACCCAGATACATTCTTGTGACGTCCAACCAGCGCGCTGACACTTGCGTACAACGAGTGGCAAGCCAATGTATGTGTCACGCACAGTTTCGTCTGTGTCACCTGCCTCATGATGCTAACTTAGTGTTCCCCCGTCCAGTGGATTGACCTCACTTCCTTCGACGTTGAGACCCCGGGGTGAAAGAAGTGGCCCAAACAGGCGGCAAGAGGTGAGTGAAATCGACGAGAACAAGGGAGAAACGTTTTTTTTCTTGCGAAAACAACAAATTCGTCTCTTCCAGAGACCATGTGTAGTAAGAGCCCGGGACAGTGTAGCGATGTATGTATCCATCGTGTTGTATGAAGACCAATTGAAAACACATACTTGAGCCACGGTTTTGGTGAAGTAGGAACGATGGGCCATCGGCGATGGGTCCTTCATGTGGGGACCAGTAGTGCTTCGTCCTCTCGAGAGCACGCGCAGTCAATGGTCTTACCAGCTAAGGCGTGAAAACATGTTATGAGTACACGAGCAATGAGAACCCTTTACCCCTCCCCGGTGAGGCCCCGCTGCTGCCAAATACCCACCTTGGTCGATATCGCTGTAGTACAACGCTTCATGCGTTGAGGGTGTTCGAGAGCTTTCGCACTCTTTCAGTAACACAGCAGCCATAACCAAGATACCGACACAAACACCAGCCGCAGCAGCAAACGGCGGCGGAAGTGGTACACATAGTTACGCCGTCCCGTCCTCAAGACCGAGGGTGCGAGGGAGGGCGAAGCCGGATCAGCCAGACAGACTCGTCATCATGTATCCATATCGACCTCACAAGGAATGCACTTGTGTAGCATCCCTCACATCCATCAATTCGAAGCTCCGAAGGTGATCATGCATGACCCCAAAATAGTTTCGCCCCCACACATGATCACAATCATCATCATCATCATCTCGAAGCTCTGAAGGTCACCATGGAAATTGATTTTGTATCCCCCAAAGTCATCGTCTCCAAGCTCCCAAAACATAGCCCGCCCGAATAATGATGGCAACCCCATGTATCATTGGTCAATGGTCTAACCGCTAAGGCATGCTAAACATGAGCACGCCCCCAACCCCCATCATCATCATCATCATCATCTCGGAGCCCCGAAAGGTCATCACGTCACGCCCGAAACTTAACCCCATCCCCCCGCACCATCACCATCATCATCATCTCGAAGCTCCGAAGGTCACCCCTTCCAGCACCGCGAGCGCGCCGGGCTCGCGGACCGATGCCACGCCGGCCCCCTCCCCCGCAAACGCCTTGTCGCGGACTAGCAACGCCCCGAGGAAGCCCATCCCGTTCACGTCGATGCCGCCCCACTCGCGGCGGGAGCGGGGCACCAGCATCAGCCACCGCGGCGTGAGGACGGCGTTGTAGGGAGGGAGCGTGGACACGGGGGCGGTGGAGGCGGCGGCGTCCCCTGGTGTTCGGGTAGGCTGCTGTGTGGCACAACGGAGAGGAGGGGTTGTAAGACTGTACACAGATCTTTTTAGATCGTTCTTCTTGGGTTCGTTTCGAGCCTCGCGGGTCAAGAACACGTGGGCTGCGAGAGCTGTTCGAGCTCGGGAAACGGCACCGACGGCAGCTTGCGGCTGATTCACACCAACCCATGCTATACTTTCGGCTTGAATCACACTACGCTCTGATGGACCCACTCCCCGGAGGCACCCCTTTTATTCATGCAAACATATGCCGTAGTCGGGAGATCATGGGGGGGCAGGGGGGGGGGCTGTACTCATAGCCGTACATACTGTAGTCGTTAGACCATGGACTTCCCGTCCCTGCAATGCCGGGACGGACGGAGCGATGTACCGGGTATTCGTCGGCCCAGGCTACGGTACGGTGCACAAGGATGAACCAGGGATTGTTATCTATTTACGCTATAGCAGACGTACTCCCATACAGCACTTTTTTGTCACGCCGAAAACCAAGGACGACGTCGGAGCAACCAGCAGCAGTATTTAGGTCTGAGGAGGTCACACGACAGCCGACACTGGCCAAGACTGCGGCTCGTTGCCGCTGCAGTCGCCACAAAACAAAGCAAGACAGCCCACCTCTTGTGCGAGAAGAGATGAGGTGTCGAAGCCGACCTCTCGCAGGAGATCCACATACCGCGTCCTCAGGTGCGCTGATGAAAAAACGAACGCGCAGGAGGGAAGACGACACACATGTGAAGTGAGGCAAAACAGTGGAACGTCAACCAGATATGCTTAAAAGAAAAGGGTCAAGAAAAAAGGACGAGAAAGAAGCGCTTGCTCATGCCGACAAGACACGGCGGAAGCGCTTCAATTTTCGCGGGGGGGGGGGCACCGGCAACAGTCCTCGCCCGCCCACCCAAGCCAAACGGCAGAAGCAACAAGCAACCAGCCCGTGATCACGTTGTTTTGAACCTCATGCGTGCTTTCATTTCTCGGTTCACCTACACCCAGACAAGGGAGCAGCAGCAACGACGCCTCTCACGAACAAGCAACATCGCTATTACCGCGACGACCAGAAACAAGGACCACGACAAGAACAGTAACATGCCACTTTGCTTGTTTGCTTGCGCGTCCCCGCCTCTCCAAGCAGAAAAAAACAACACTTCCGCCGCGGCAATCGCCACCACAAACAGTAACTGAACTAAAAAACAGTTCGAAAACAAAATACATGACAAAAAAAAAAACCGTCCGGCTCACCCGCCATCCTTCGTGACGGATCATCATCACCAACCCCCTCTTCTCCTAGCTCCTGCAAGGACGGCAGCAGGGTGAAGGCGTGCTGGAAGCGGAAGGTCGGCAGCCTCCACACCCGGGATAAGTCTCTGCTGGACCCCACGAGACGCGAGATTGGCTCGTCCACCGGTATGGCCTGACGTCAGGTTTCACGCAAACAAGAGGTTTTCCGGGCGAGTTTTTTTGTTTTTTTCATCAGCCCTCCAGCACTTCTGTGTTTCTTTTTTGTATACTGTACAAGTGCTCCAGCATTTCTGCCGGGTAGGAGGTCCAATCCGTGGTCACACAAGCGAGACTTTTTTTGTTCCTTCACTTCAAATCTCTGCGTCATTATGTATCGTCTGAAAAGACGACTATCCGACAGCGTGTGGGCGGTACGAGAAGGAACGCCTTCCCGTGCATGGTATGTAGCTCCACACGTTTTAGGAAAACGTTGCTCCTTGCTCCCTCACCAAGCGGCGATTGAAGTGTACGATGTCCTACTGACACCGCCATTATCGCCGTTGTTTGTTGCTGCTGCCACTGCAGCAGTTACTGCTGCTGCTGCTGCTGCTGCTGCTGCTACTGCTGCTGTTGGTGTTGTCTTCACACAGCAGTGCAAACCTGTCTTTTTCTTTGGTCGCGCGTGCCAGGACTGCTGTTTCTTGGTCAGCTTGAAGTTTTTGTCCAGCTTGGTTTCTCGCCGGTGAGCATGCGAACCCGCGGATATTCATTTTTTTCACAAGAGAGCATTTTGGGACAACCGGGCGACCCTCGTTGATTATATGTGTGTTGTCTAGAAGTACCATGATAAATAACCACAGGAAACATGATGCTCTACAAAACCACCCCGGCAACGATCGTTCTTGTCGCCGGCTTTCGCATGGGTCGGGGAACGGGGGGGGGGCGTCCACAGCCAAACGACAACGTTTTGTTTCATACTGAGTTGCAGGTACTATATATGACGGGAAGGACATGCATTTTCATATTAATGGCGACCGTCACTCTCAAACCCGTCCAAAGTCGTGCTCCACGGACCTGATGCAATTCGACTGTCAAACTTGACCCAAAGAACAAATTTCGCTGTTTGTTCCAACTGCCCGTACCGACACTAAGAAGCTTCATCTCGGTAGCATGCGAGCACGCTTCACGTCCTAACGGGAGCACGCAAGCGCGTGTGTTGTGAATTTCAAACTAACTTGAGCTGCACTGCAGGACGTCGCCGTATGCTTGCACGCATACACACACACCTCGTTGGCCGCCGGTCGGTAGTCCCAGAGGGCATCGTCGGGGATGACCTGGAAACGAAACGCACAAAGTCAGGTGGTTGGAACAGATGCATGGTGCGGTAAGAACGCATTGTGTGCGTTAACAACGAGAACACCCTTAGTGTGTGCGTTAACAACCAAGACCTGCGACGTTGAAAGCACACCACCCGTATATCCCTGGAAAGAAGAAGAACAAAATGGGCCCTGTGGTCACATTCCTCCTGTCTGTGCGACCCCTGTGCATAAGTCAAAATGTGTGGAATGGTGTGTAGACTCCTGCCAGAGTAAATGGGACGAAAGCACACACGCCGATGCGTTCATGAGATGGTCATACCCCTCGGGTGCTCGTAGAGCGGGAAAGCACGGTAACGACAACAGCAACAAAATCGACCAAAACACTGGTGTCGAGTGAATGAGAACATGACACCAACGTACGACTTCGTGCAGAAACATCTTACTGCGTACATTCGAACGAGAGAACATACTCCTTGGGCCTTTTTCCCTTCCTTTTTTCTCACGAAAAAAAATACACAAATATTCATGTCGATTCACAGATAAGAACAAGCCGTTCTTGTGAGTATCGCGCCTGTGGTGCCTTCACCTAGTCCCAAGCCTCGGCCGCCACCGAGCATTTTTAGTGCACTAAGAACTTTTCCATTTCTTCCCAGACAAAAAAAAGCGGGTAATTGGGGGAGATATTTGGGGGTTCCGCGAACCGAAAATAATTCCCTCGGCAAGAACAAAAAGAGTGAGAAAAATCGATGCAAAGGAGAAACATATGGTACCGAACACGAACAAAAAAACTGGTGTGACACAAGCAAAAAACACAAAGTGCCGGAGGCTAAGAAGGCGAGAGATGTTGCGTTCATATATTGTTGCTAAGGGTGTATCTTCATCGAACTTCGGTACAAAGGGGTTGCCACCAACACCAACACTGATCGGTCGGGAAGTTACGAGTACCCACCCCCGCACGTAGCTATCGACCTCTTCTGCTCACAACAATCGGAACTGATGCTTGACAGGCCTACCTGCATGTGCTTGTGCCTCTGGCTAGCCCCCGCGTCCACCGCCGAGTTGTAGAAACCGACGCCCGGGAGTTCTTCTACCACCCGGTACCAGGCGCCAAAATCTTGAAAAAAAAAAAGTGAACGGACGGAGGGAGTTAATTGAATGATAGAAATACATGTACATCGATACCGCGTTGTTGCTTTCTCACAGAGATCTCATTGTAGATTCCGTGCAGATGTGAACGATGTGGCAAATGATTGTTTCAAGCAGTGAGTGTGTCGCCGGTTGATGTACGGCGACACCAACGGGGGGGGGAGGGGATTTGCCGGGCTGGCCGGGTGGACTGACGGACAGGGGGGTGGGATTCATCGTTCGGCCGATAGGGTAAACTGGAGGTACGTACAACCGAAACGAACAGCCACACACGAATGCTGGCTGCTACAGGGCGCACGGTGGCGCCGAGGCTGCGGGATACTATGTTATTGAGGGGAGGGGTAGTCGACGACGGCGACGACGACAGCAACAAATCTCTCTCTCTCTCTCTCTCTCTCTCTCTCTCTCTCTCTCTCTCTCTCTCTCTCTCTCCCTCTCTTTCTCTCTCTCTCTCTCCCTCTCCCTCTCTCTCTCTGTCTCTCTGTCTCCCTCTCTCTGTCTCCCTCTCCCTCTCCCTCTCCCTTTCTGTCTCTGTCTCTCTCTTCTCCCTTTCTTTTATCCGTATCCCCCCCCCCCTCTCTCTCTCATTCTATCTCTATCTGTCTGTCTCTTTCTCTGTGTCTATCTCTTTATTTCTCTGCTCTCCTCTCCCGTATAGGAGCTAGCCATTTATACCTTCCTCCGTGAGGGCCTCTTGCTGCGACTGGAACTCCGTGGTGATGATCAAGGCGTGGTTCCTCATGGTGTTGAACTTGTTCAGTACCAAGGAGTGCGACGGGGGCAGTTCCTCCACCGCCTACGACAGAAGGAGAGGGAGGGGCGGGGGCGGGCGGAGACACTGACATACATAGCGCCTCCTTCTATGTGACCCCGGTTGGGTCGTCTAGCTGGTAGAAGTGGAGGATAGGGGCCACAGGGGAAGACGACAGAGTCCAATAATGGGGGGGGGTACTCATAGTTGTGCATGCCGTCGTTAGACCATTGACCTCGCATCCCTACAAAGCCGGAACGGAGCACGCCGGGTTCTCCTCGGACCAGGCTCTCACATCACCAAGCGCGAAGCGCCGTGAGATATTCGGCGAGTCGCATGAAGGGTGCGCTGCATCCTGCTAAGGGTGTTCGGCATCTTGTGCTTACTTCCTTGCGTACGGATGACAGCTGCGTATGAATTAATTTATTTTCTGGTGCTTTCACTTCCAGAGACAGTTGTAAGCACTGTGTAACTGCCTCGAGGGTGCTTGACCATTTTAACACAACGTGGTGCGATCATCCCCCTTGCGCGGAGTGAGGGTTCTCCACCCCGCACAACATGATCTACTCGACCACCATTATGGTTACCGCCAAAAAAAAAAACGGAGGTAAAAAAAAAAAACGGTAACCTGGTTGCCGAGTTCACGAAGTGAATTGGCTTGTTTTACAACGTCGTTGCCAAGCGACGAAAACCCAACCCCGATGGTAAACACCGGAGGGGGAATGATGGGGGAAAAAAAAATATATATATATAGATACAGTCGTCCCCGCATTAAAGACACCATTTTTAAAGACACTCCCCGCTTTGAAGACACAAAAAAATCTCAGAAACATGGTGGCCCGCAGATGTGAAAAAGTAGGGGGGGTGTAGTTTTTGGTTTTGAGAGCAAAGCACTTTTATTGCCGACGTTCGTTGTTTGCCTTGGGTGAAGTCTCGTGAGGTTGAATTTGGCGTTGGTGTTGTGTTGTGCCTCGTTTTGACCTTTGGGAGGCGCGGTGTCCTCGCTGCGCTTTCCAGCCATTTTTGGTCTCTGTGTTTCTGCGTAACCTACATTTTCCTAGTGTCGTTTCACAACCTTCGATTTTTCTCAGGTGCGGTAGCGAAATCTTGGGCAAGATACTCACGGGGAGGACAACGCCTAAAAAATAGAAGAGAGCAAATAATTAAGCCCATATCAACACCAGCGCACTACCGTCGTGTACACATGTACGATACGTAGGTCGTAGAACACCATCGCTTTCAGCGTTTTGGTGGTACAGTACGGGGGAATTCAAACGATGGTATGCAAGTATGTATTGCAGCACAACAGCAGCAGTGGTTGCGACCTTCAAATCACCTTGTGTCGTAGGTTTCAAACAACACATCTTCGGTCGCCTTTCTGCTGCGAATGCGCACATTTCGACATATGTTTCGCCTTCATTGGCCCCGGAGATGGTGCGTTAGTGGCCCCGGAATTTTATAGACACTTCCCCGCGTTAAAGACACTTTTTGGGGGGGGAAACGTTGTGTGTCTTTAAAGCGGGGTCGACTGTATAGTAAAAAAATTACAAAGACCAAGAGGATAATGGAGGGTGGGAGCGTGCGACGGTCTTGTGGTGGGCCACAGAAAATCCGGACACGACTTGTACCTCTGGACAGAAAGCGGTCGTGGGTGGTTGTTTTCCTGTGCTGCTTGCGCGTGCGTGTGGCAGGAAGGACCAGCGGAGCGAAACGACTGACAAAGTGAATAAATAAAAAAGGGAAATGGACACAAGTGGGTATACCCACCCCATTCTCGGACAAAAGTGGGTCCTCGAAAATCCAGCGCGCGCGCACTCCATAGGCGACCCCCAAACGACTCGAAACCCTATTCTGACACCTGCGCGACACAGCCAGGGACCATACACAGCACGGGCATCGATTTTTTCCCACTTTCAGGCACACCTTTGGCCCTAATACCGCCGAGGCGCGCAGGGCCTCACCAGAGTGCCCACTTCTGTCCGACATCGCGGTGGGGATACCCACCGGCGTCAACTATTTTTTGCATGTACCCACTCTTGTCTATATTTTTACCCACTTTTGTCCAATTTGTACCCGCATTTGCCCACTTACGGACGGCGAAAATCGAGCGGAAATCGACCTCCACGTCACCGCACGGCAGAACATCGAATAGCCTCGGAACGTCTCAGAACCTCCCAACACCGTATCCATGGCATATTTCGTATCCATGGCTGCCGACTGCGGACCGACCGCGGAGGAACACGTCAGACACATGCCAGGCCCCTTCGGTACCGGCACGAGAGGATACCAGGCACGGGAAGATGCTCGCGGTAAGCCCGGCAAGCAGCGCACGAACGGCAAACGCCACAAATAAATGCGTGACACACAACGGACAACAAAACCAACGGGCGTGCTTACAGAACAAACGCGCATACAGCAACAACACACACAGTCTACACACAAAGACACCAACCACCACCACGACGAGTGCACACCGACTCGTAAGGGCAGCAGCAGCATATCGATGCAGTTTGCTCTGCAGGGCGCCCGCTCAGGGTCAAGCGCGGGCGCACCTCTGTCAACTGCTGGCGGCGCCATGGTTGAAGGGGCATTTTTTGCGACGGTTACGTTTTTAGGGGGTATCAAGCCGGATTTTCACGTCGTATACACAAGATGAATGTTACCCTATTAAAATGATGTTACGTGGCAAACTGCATCGACATGCTGCTGCTGCCCTTACGAGTCGGTGTGCACTCGTCGTCGTGGTGATTGGTGTTTTTGTGTGTAGACTGTGTGTGTTGTTGCTGTATGCGCGTCTGTTCTGTAAGCGCGCCCGTTGGTTTTGTTGTCCGTTGTGTGTCACGCATTTATTTGTGGCGTTTGCCGTTCGTGCGCTGCTTGCCGGGCTTACCGCGAGCATCTTCCCGTGCCTGGTATCCTCTCGTGCCGGTACCGAAGGGGCCTGGCATGTGTCTGACGTGTTCCTCCGCGGTCGGTCCGCAGTCGGCAGCCATGGATACGAAATATGCCATGGATACGGTGTTGGGAGGTTCTGAGACGTTCCGAGGCTATTCGATGTTCTGCCGTGCGGTGACGTGGAGGTCGATTTCCGCTCGATTTTCGCCGTCCGTAAGTGGGCAAATGCGGGTACAAATTGGACAAAAGTGGGTAAAAATATAGACAAGAGTGGGTACATGCAAAAAATAGTTGACGCCGGTGGGTATCCCCACCGCGATGTCGGACAGAAGTGGGCACTCTGGTGGTGCCCTGCGCGCCTCGGCGGTATTAGGGCCAAAGGTGTGCCTGAAAGTGGGAAAAAATCGATGCCCGTGCTGTGCATGGCCCCTGGCTGTGTCGCGCAGGTGTCAGAATAGGGTTTCGAGTCGTTTGGGGGTCGCCTATGGAGTGCGCGCGCGCTGGATTTTCGAGGACCCACTTTTGTCCGAGAATGGGGTGGGTATACCCACTTGTGTCCATTTCCCATAAATAAAGGTTACGCCGGTCTCCCACCAGATACAATAGTTCCACGTCGACGGAAGAAGAACGACAAGCAACAAAAACGGCACCTCACCATGCGGGGATCGAGCACCCTAGGGTCGAAGGGATCGTCGCTTGCCGCGGATGCTGGTGGGGTCGCGATGGCAGCCTTGCAGCACAACCGACAGAAAAAGAAGAGCAAAACGAAAGCAGATGCAGTCAAGGCAACGCCCGACAGGTGAGGAAGGAGAGCTGCTGTCCCGAACAAAACGCGGAGGAGAAAACGAGCAACAAACGTCGATAACTGGCGGACGCGGCGAGTTTTGCACAAGCTCGACGGAGAGTGGCGATGATTACCACACAAAACCCCACCACAAGAGAAAAGGCAACAGCAACCGCGCCAACGGCAGAAGCACCATGAACACACATCTTCCACGCGAACCAAAGCTTAGCCAACCTCCCCTCCGCGAGAGCTGTCATAGCAAGTTGGCCGTCCTCACCTTGGCCTCCAGAGCCTCGCCAGATATCACCGACACGATGAAATCCATCGCCCCCCCTTCCTCCTCCCCCTCCCCCTCCGCACGAACGACCTCGAAGGTGGTGTGCATGGGCAGCGTTATCCCCTCGGCCAGCGCGGTGTCGGCCACGTGCTGGAGGCGTTGCCGCAGAGGGGATGTTCCAGCGTACGACCCCGGACCCTCCGCGCTCCCGCTGTTGCTGCTGCTGCCGCCGCCGCTAGGGGCACCGCCGATTCGGTGTCGGGGGGTCCCCGCGGACAGGGGAGACTTGTCTCCTGCGGTGTAGCGTGCGTACGGACGCATCGACAAATATCGGGACGCAGTGAAATACCCCATTTATCTCTCTCTGAGTGTGCGGGAAGAAATAATCGCTCTTGTTGTCTACCTTAGCCAGGAAGTTTTGCCACACAAGACTTCTGGTTCAATTTTGCTGGTGGGAGGGGCCATTGGCGAAGATCTGGCGAGTGGTGAGAAGATCGCCCTCTCGAGAACAAAACCCGTGGCAACGTGGCGATAACGAGAATGAAGGCTCCGCCTCACTAGAACCAACCGTCCACTGCGCTACACAAGCATAAAACTTATTGTGTGAGCTACCAAGAAACCATTGAGCAGGAAGACTGATTCCTGCGCATCTCAACCACGAGTGAGTGCCGCATTCGGCCGACCAATTCCCAGTGCCCCCTCGGATGCACACATTCAAGCGTGATAGCCTTGTCCGGTGAAAACCCGGCGTGCTCCGTCCCGGCTTTGAAGGCATGCGAGGTCAATGGTTCAACGACTACGGCATGCACGGCTACGAGTACCACACCCCCCCTTGCACCTTCCACATCGCCGTCCCCGCCCCCGTTCAGCGCCACCGCTATGAGCACGGCGACGATAACGCCTCCGATCACCATCCAAAACCGCCGAACGCCGCCAGGACTTCGGGCGAAAGACCTCCACCAAGTGTCCACGATTCCCCCGTCTGATGGCCCTCCTTCCTCAACGCCATTGTTGCCGCTGGTGGTGTTCATTGCGTCGGTTATGCCGGCCTCTCCGCCGAGGATTCCCCCGAACGAGAAGGAAGGCATGGACGGCCAGGGCCGCCCCTGCACGCGGTCGAAGAGGGCTCTGGCCGATTGCTGAGAGGTGATCGAGAATGAGCGCGGGGTGGAAGGTCGGTCGGTCGGCCGGTGCAAGAAAGACGAAATGTCGTCAGAAACGGACAGCTAAAAGTGACAGAATCTTGATTATGGATATGCCGGGAATGCATACATACGCAAAGATGATGCTACCTAGATTGTGTCTACAGAAGAGCGGCGCTACATATGGCATAAAACAATGAAATGAAGTGTGGTAGACGATTCTGGAAGACATCCCTCTCTCAGTCAAAAGAGTCCAAACGTGGGGCAGGAGCCGCCTCCGGCCCAAGATGTGGATCTTGACACCCGCGTACGAAGCGGCGGTAGGTGATCGACTACGCCGCAACACTCGTAGGTGGACGTCCGAAGCGTTATGGGAATCGGAATTCCGAAACGAGAGAGCGTGTGTGTGTGTGTGTGTATGTGTGAGAGAGAGAGAGAGAGAGAGAGAGAGGAGCCCGTCACAACAGAACGACACCGACAACACCAACGTTGTCGCGCTCACATTCCCGACCCGCATATCCCGCCAGGTGACACCATCCAGCGAATGCACCTGCTGGGAAACAAACCAAAAAACGACGGTGCAGACAACGGCAGCGGCATCTTCCGAACCGCTCTAGGAGAGCGGAAAAAAAAAAATGGAAGCACGGCCCGCAAGGACAACCCATTTTGAGTCGCACATCAGCAATGTAACAGACAACATGGGGCGGCGACGCAGATCGGAAACAACCGGGCAGGATGGTGGTGGAGGGTAGCTGGTGCGCCTTACAGCAGTGGGTGGCATCGACAGCGAGAAGAGTGCAGCTCAGCTCTCCACTGCTGTCTGTTCACCACTACTGCTGTCACCATGCGGCTGTGGCGGGCCACATTTAGTCCGCCCGCTTGTGTCGCCGCAGATGGCGTAATATACATACCGTATATGACACAAGATAACACACCCCCTGGACCGATTTTCAATGCTCGATTATTCCACGACGAAGAGGATGCATAAACGAAATGATACATTTTCGAAAAGCTCTCGGCGAGACGGTTCCAACGCCGCCGTTTTCGGCGCTGTGACTGTTCCTGCAGTTGAGAAACCGAGCTTCGAAAATCGGTCAAGGGGGTGTGTTATCTTGTGTCATATACGGTAGGCATCTCACCCAGCAATCCAGACACGACGATGTGCGGGCTCTGCTTGTAAGGAGCAATCTGCGATTTTCCTGTAGGTCGCTCAGCAAAAGCCGACAGAGTAGTCGCGGGGAGGAACACTACCATGTACATGCAGTGGATAGTACTGCTGTAGTACAACGATCAAGCAGGTGATGCCTTGTCTTCCTCTAATGGTTTCCTTCGGATACTCGCCCGCAGGATACCTACTACTGCTGTGTAGTCCACGCACACAGCGTCCCCCCGGCGGATAGACTTCATTCATTTCAGCAGTACTTCTGTAGACCGTTTTCATCAATCCGAGATGATAAGCAGACGTATCCGGACCGGGGAAAGAGGTTGACACATGAAACAGTGCCCTGGACCTGCGCTACGACAGCCGTGCCACTGCTCCATTCTGTCTGTGACATAAAGAAGCTTGTGCATTTACGCGTGTCCTGATGTCCTGATCACGTCATTTCTGCTGCAATTAGCAGCGAAACGCGGAACAACCTGGAGAGACTCCCTCTGATAGGCAGGAGAACAACGGCAGGCAATCGTTCCTATCAAGGTAGAAGACCAAGCGGCATGCAACAACAGACACAAAAATCTCCCACCTTGACCCCACTCATAGTTCCCCCGTCTTCTTCCTCTTCCTCCTCCTCCCACTGCACGCCTGCCCGTGGCACTGCATCCTCTTCGTCGCGTGAACCGGCCGGCGGTGCTGCTGCGGCATCTCCGTGGCTCGACATTCCCGCACGGTTATTTCGTCTTGTAGAGGCAACAGCTTGTTGTCGACACCACGGTACGGTGCACCACAGCACTACAGCCGCATCATGGGAGCTTGGGTGGGGGACACAAGCTGGGACGCTGGGACGCGGGGACCGTGGAGGGTGCGTTCGAAAAATGAACGTAGGCGTGAATCGTGACATCTGCCCCAGAGGGTGCCAGATACCCGCGGTTGGTTCCAGGTTCCAGGTTTCCAGCAGGACGCATAAATGACAGCCGGTCGCCCCGGTGGTCTAGTTGGTAACCTCGAAACCTTCTAGAGGTCAGGTCAGGGGTTCGAATCCCGGCGTAAGCGAGCTTTTCTTGCAAAGTGAGTTTTTCTCTCGCTTCCACTCCTGGCCTAGTGGATAGCGCTAGTTCGTGTGTACACAGAGGGAAGAGAGTGCTGAACTCTTCTCGCATTAAAAATCGAAGGCAAAGTACCGCAGGAGGGGAGGGTAGAGAGGGGCTCTTCTGTGTGTCCACGGGTTGGAGCAACCGGCACTAGTACTTGAAGTGAAGACAAATAAATAAATAAATAAATAAATGAATGGGACAAGGGAAGCAAATGGGTTGTTGCTGTGGTGCTTTCCTTTGCATTAACNACCACGGGCTCCCAATTTTGTTTTTTAGAGCTAATGTGAGAAACAACAACTACAAATTCGACTAGTCTACAGCAGCAGCATCACCCCCTTTGTCCCGCATTTAACCAAAATGAATGTTTGTCGACTACTACAGCGTACTACTGCTGTCTGAAGTGCTGTCTGTACAATAATAACACCATGAGTGCATGGTACACAAGGTCGGGGCATGCTGCAGCTGCTGTCTGGNCACAAAAATGCCAGAGCCATCAGAAGATCTGAAGAACACACACACTATTATTAGCAAGAAAGGGTAGAGAGAGAGAGAGAAAAGGTGCACCTGCAATCCCTGCAGCACGATTGCATGCTCACAACTGAACTACACGCCCACACACTACGAACGACGTACCCAACTGATGATGTTGTCGCACCCTGTGTTCCCTTTTCCCTGCCGTAAGCTGTATGCTCTTAGTATTGCCTCCGGCCTCTCTTTGTGCTTTTCTTCTTTCTTTCTTGTTCTCCATGCCCTCTCTACGATGATCTTGGACGATACCTCGAGCTCCTTGTTATTTTTGTTTTTTCCTTTGATGGCTGCCTGCCACCTCTGCTGCCTCTTTGGTGCGGTGCCTACCCTACACTAATGCGCTGGTGCATACTGCACTGCTGTAGTACCTGGTACTGGTGTACGTTGGCCTTCGATTTTTTATTTTTTTTTGCGGGAATATACATGTGTTTGTTTTTCGCCCCCCGTCTTGCTGCACCCCCTGGGGTGTGGTGCAGGGCGGGGGATGCCTGGTCGGCGGGAACCCGGCACGGAACCCTCCGGCGTTGTAGGCGGGTGTGGGAAGCGTTCCCCGTTCTCCTTTTATTTTATTTTGATCGGTCTCCTCGACGCTCTTTCTCGTTTGGTGCGGTAGCTGGTCTTTCTTTCTATCATTTTGTTTCTCTTCCGAGTGGTTTTTGTACCCTATTTTTTTCTGTTTCTTCGTGGGGTCGTGTATGCCGGGTTTTGAGACCACGGGCTCCCAATTTTGTTTTTTAGAGCTAATGTGAGAAACAACAACTACAAATTCGACTAGTCTACAGCAGCAGCATCACCCCCTTTGTCCCGCATTTAACCAAAATGAATGTTTGTCGACTACTACAGCGTACTACTGCTGTCTGAAGTGCTGTCTGTACAATAATAACACCATGAGTGCATGGTACACAAGGTCGGGGCATGCTGCAGCTGCTGTCTGGAGTGCTGTCAGAATGAGTCCGTGGACATACAATGAAGAAGAACACCCAACTGAAGCCATCATTGCAATTGACAATCACCCGAATCTATCCAGATAGATCATCTGTGTTGGACATAGCAGTGTGAACATCGACACTGACTAGGAATCGTTCCACATTGAAGGGGTCGTCCACGATGCAGGTACACAATTAAAAGCACCCGGGTTACCCGCCCCATCTCTGCCGCGTCTCTCTACCAATCCAGTCACGTCATCACACACTGCAGGTCTAGTGGGTAGCCTCGCAGCCTGCTAAGGCCCAGGTCATGGGTTCGAGTCCCGGCAGAGAGAGGTTTTTTTCTCACTAAATAAATCCTGGTCTAGGATGAAAGCGACGCGCTGCAAAGCTCGTTTGTTAGTAAACCATAATCGACTTCGTAAGTCGCGAGGGAAGGGATTGTTGTACCCTTCTCGCGATCAAAATACCTCAGGCATGAACCGCAGGAGGGGGTCCAACCCCCCCCTCCTTTGTGACCCCGGTTGGGTCGTCTAGCTAGTAGAAGTGGAGGATAGGGGCCAGAGGGGCAGACGAAAGAGTCCAATGATGGGAGAAAAAAAAAACACACACACACACACACAACACCAGTGTTCAGGAAATAAACGGGAAAATATTTGACAACACAAGAGATGTTTGTCGGTGCGCCACGTTTCGATGCCGTCCGCCTGCTCCGGTTCCGCTGCTCCGGTGCCGCTGCTCCGGTGCCGCTGCTCCGGTGCCGCTGTGGCCAATCCTAGCATGACCAAACTCGATCCGCTCCGCTTCGTACACGCTCTCATTGCTGTCCATCCCAGTCGGTTCCTCGCTTTCTCCCTCGTTGCCCTCAGGGTTCTTGGTCTAAAAATTCTCGCGCCGAAGGGTCAACCAGCCCAATCAGCTCGTCACCACCTGTCCCCTCCTCCTTTGATGGCAAAACCAGGTTGCTGAGACGGTTGTTGTTGTTGTTTTTCTTCACATTAAACTCGGTACAGCAAACCTAGGGCCGTGTACATAGTGCCCGTCCACCTTTCTTTCTGATGACGTCTGCCTCCGCGCACAAGGATGAGATGGGCATTGCTGCCTACACCGACGGCCTGGGGGCCCGCGCATCTGCACCTCTGTACCTGACGCACCAGTGCCGACCCAACTCCACCACTACGCACGCCTCGCGGCGGGTACGCCGCAGCAAGAAGGTATCTGTCCCTTAAGGGTGAGTCTAGCCCTGCTCGCTACAAAGAACCCCCCCCCTCGCTATGGGTGATGCCTACGCCAAACCTTGCCGAGGCAGCGAGGGGAAGACAGAAGTACCGGCCGGAAATAATTTCAACCCATTCAAGATCCTTTCGCAGAAAATTCCGAGAAAATATTGGCAATAGATGGGGTTTACTTGGCAACGGTTAAAGGGCGAGACAGACGGGTGGGGAATTGACCATCTACGGTATATTGTTCGATGAAAGCAGCAGAGTCACACGCCTGCATGCCTTCCACAAGCAGACATCCTTTTGGGAGGTTGACTTACGCTGGACAGCCTCCCGTTGCCTAAAGGTTTGCTTTGATGGGAAAGGACACGCGGAGCATTATTCTAGCGAGCAGGCTGGAGGGAGGTGGGAAGAAATCCCCTGCAAGCCTCCCGTTACCCAAATGTTTGCTTTGATGTGAAAGGACACGCGGAGCAAGATTCTAGCGAGCGAGAGATGGCAAGAAGAATTCCTTGGTGGAACTTGTTGGGAGGTGCGACTGCCAGCGGAGATTGCAGTCGGCTTCTGTTTCACCACACCTTGTTGTTCCACACGACAGAGTAGTAGTGATGAAGCGTAGCTCTCTGATTGAGATCACGCCCCGTGCTCGCGCCACGAGGAGGAGGATGGCGTGCTGTCTCAGGCCGGCTTTGCTCTCTCTCGTCGGGCTGGCATCGGCAGCAGCCCTTGTGGCAATCCTGCATGGTGGCAGCAGCCTTGTGCCAACAACAACCGGGGCCGCTGCCGCTGCTGCTGCCCACCTTCTTGGCGGGAAAAGGAGCAGCAGAGGGGAAGGAGGAGGAGGAGGCGGGGGAGGAGACCGGGGCAGAATAGCACACGGGGGGCAACTGGGCAACACGGACGGCGGCGGCGCTGCGGCAAGGGAAGGGAAAGGTCGACAACACCCGGACGGCACCGGCAGCAGCAGCAGCAGAAAGCTGGACGTGACAATTGGTTTCAGCGAAGAGACAAGTCGCCCGCTCGTGGAAGGAGACGACGGGGTGCTGTTCGACGAGCCGCCGGTGCTCAGGCACCCCATCAAGGACGAGTGGGTGCAGCGCTGCTCCAATTTGGAAAACGCGACCGCCGCCTTCGCCCAAGGCTCGGTGTGCGGGCCACCACTCACGAAGCCGTGCTTCGATCACAGCCGGTGCGGCTCCGTTTCTTCTAGGCCCATGATTTACGTGTACGACCAGGAGGTGAGAGGAGGAGGAGGAGGGAAATAAGAGGTGAAGCCTTGTTGCGTAAGGCCCCGCTGTGTACATAGCCTGTCGTGTGTGGCGCCTCTTTCGTCGTCTTTCCACCGGACGGGCACTTGGTTACTGGCACAAGCGAGAGCGACCTGCACGGGATTCTTGGAAGTTCGCACGTATTTTTGGAGATGATGACAACAAGTTCATCACGATGTGTTAACTTTTTCTTCTACTACTACCTTGGCGGAAACCACGCGTTGCGGGGAGAAAAAAGCGGACGCGCCGTCGTTTTTGAGAATGCTGCTCTCCCTGCCTCATCAAGCATGACCACGGCCAGCCGCTGATGGTATCTAGATGATCTGACATCGCGGGCCTCTGGCGTGATTGATCCACCCCGTTTCCTTCTTCATCAAGGGGTGTTTTGTCTCCTTGTTATTTCCTTCTTTGACGGGAAATCTCTCCGCGGCGGCATCTCTCGGGGTACACAGCAGCGCCCTACTCTATGCACTCATCCTTCTGGCGACTAAATAATGGATGAAAAGAGAGGCCCCTACAACACACCCTGACGCAGGGCTGCTGTTGCTGATACATGCAGGAGTCTCTCTCCAGCATCATCCGGCGGCAGTTGTCATATAATCTCCGGCTGCGGAGCGTGAGGTGTCAGTCTTGTGTAACTCCTTCCGTTAGGAATACTGGTGTCATAGTTCTTGCGTTGGTCGTTTTGCGAACACTCAACTGCTGTTGTCATGCACCCCATGTTCATAGTCTATGCGTTTTTTGAAAAAATGGAACAAAATCTCAACTGGTACCCCGGGCACCTTGTGACCTAATTATCTTCGATACCTTCAGTGGTTATCCTGACTGCTATGCACTGCGCCTGCTGATGTTGCTGCATTCACGTCAACAATAGCCCGATCTCTGCTCTCGGACCCTCTTCGTGTCGTCGCATTGGAATATCCCTATCATCTCCATCTCATCTGGTCGGTCCTAGCTGATGCGGGTTCCTCCAGCTGACTTACCGGGGTACACACGTACACATTCATCCACCCAAAAAAAGTTACAGCAGTACACCGTGGAAGGCCCTCAATAAGGCCGGCGTGTGCCTGGCGCATCGCCCGGCGCTTTTCAGAGGGATCGGCGCTCCTCAATGCACAGATTAACTTGATGATTCAGTCCGCGCCCAGCCATTTCACCGGCGCAATATAGGGCCACCGGCTCCAAATTTGTATCTCGAATAAGGATGCGTAGTCTTTCTGTGTGTTCTTTTATTTTTCCTTGATCGCCTGGCGTTGTTGTCGCCCCCCCACTGCTGCTGCTGTAAGCGCTGCTCTTGTAGTTGCGTACGGATATGGCGTTCCCGACACAAACAAAGAATTGAAGAATACGGCGGATACGAAGTATTTGCATGTGACGGAGGGTCTCGTTGCTTGCTTTGACAGTCGGTCTTAATTTTTTCAATTTTTCGGCGTGCTGACTCATGTGCGAGTTGCGCTGTTGGCAGTTTGGCATCAACGTAGGTGCGTTCCCAGGACAGGAGTGGATGACAGCGCCATAATGAAGCAACAGATGTTGCTGGCACTGCTATCAGCGCCAATGTGGCTCGGACTGGACAGGTTCCCCGTCAATGTCACTAAAACACATGGGAGAGCATGATGCACGGTCGCCCATCAGCACTTGCTACACAAAATTCGCGCTGATTTTAAACATTAAGAACGCCATCGCTGATGTTCGGACTGCACCCGCTCTCTCCCGCCTTCAATGAAATTGTTATCAAAGAGAATACACGCGGACCGAGCGACAAGATGAATATGTAACAACAGCAACGCTTCCAGGGAAGACAGAAAAACGCGCATGATTCTAGGTACCGTAGGTTGCGTATGATACCACACCCCCTACACCGATTGTGAAAAGCTCGGTTGCTACATGTGATCCAGAATAAAACAGATTGTGCCGGAAATATCGGTTTTATTGGAACCGTCTCGTCGAGAGCATCCCGGCAAGGTACGGTTTGATTTCGGCATCCTCTTCGTCGTGGAGTAGCCGAGCTATAAAAGGCGGTTCAGGGGGGCGTAATATCTTTCGAAACAAGCGTGCAATCGGTATCCTTCCCCCCTGCTACATCCAGGCGGAGGTGTATCATGCATTGATACTTCCAGGGCTTTCCACGGTGATGACCTGGCGCCGCAATTCGTCAGCCCCTGCTCCCAAGATGTGCATCTACTTCGGGCACGACTCTTGTTTACTCCCACATTTTCGTTGGCCTGTGCATGCCTTAGTTCATGGAAAACTTGAACCCGTGCGTTTGTCCCTCTTTGTTAGTTCCCTATACACGCTCATGTATCTACTTGCACATTATTTTTTACTTCTGCATGCAAACTCGAAACCCGTGCTTCCCCCCCCCCCCCCCCCCCCCCCCCCCCCCCCCCCCCCCCCCCCCCCCCCCCCCCCCCCCCCCCCCCCCNNNNCCCCCCCCCCCCCCCCCCCTCCCCCTTGTTTTTCGGTTCTATTTGTGCCTGCATGCAGTGTTCTCTCGCCGATAGCAACAAGTTGCGCATCAATGACCACACCAACCTGGACAAGCAGCACCAGGGCTCCTACTGGAGGGAGGCGGTGTGGAGGGCGGGGCTGCTGGCCAACACCTATGAGGAGGCCTGCCTTTTCATCCACGTCAACACCCACAACCACGACGAGCCGTGCGCCACGAGAGCACCACTCTGGAACGGGGGCGTCAACCACATCATGATGGAGTTCACGCCGTGGTGGATGTAAGTGCTATTTGTCGATACTTGTTGGAGTTTTTTTCCTTTTTTCTCCTTCATCGTGATGGAGCCCACGCCGTGCTGGACGTGAGCGCCACAGAGTGCTGCTTGGGAGTGCCTTTTGTTTCGTCCCTTCGTCGTGGTGGTTCACGTGCAGGGTTTCTAGGTGCTTCGCACGAGGTGCTTATTTCGTGCTTGGAGCATTCCCTGCCTTGCTTCTTCATGGTGGACTTGAATTCAAGTCTTGGCGGACGTAAAGTGTCGCATCCAAATACTTGTGAAGAGTTCCTTTTTCCTTACATGGTGATGCACTCACGCCTTGGAGTATGGCAGTCGTCACCTTTTCAAGGTCACAAAGGTACGACACTTCCTTTGTTTTTGGACACTTGTTTCAAAACTTGGTGCCCCGCAGAATGGAACACCAATGGGGGGGAGGTGGACTCACAGCTGTGTATGCCGTAGTCGTTAGACCATTGACCTCGCATCCCTACAAAGCTGGGACGGAGTACGCCGGGTTCTCAACGGACCAGGCTAGCACATCACCGAACGCGAATTGGGTGGGGTGTCAAAATATTAAATTCAGGACCTTGTTTTCTTGTTCACGCTAGTGTCCGTGTTGCGGGGACGGATAGTTATTTCTCCTGTGTGCATTGTCCTTGTGATGATGTTTTATTGAGGTTGGGGTATGTCAAGCCCTGGCCCCTCGATTGTGCTGTGACCGTAGGGCGCAGGCAACCCTCGCAACAACGGAGGGCGACCTAATCCTCCTTTTTTTTTTTTCGCGGTCGCGGTCGGTCTGTGGTGGTGATGCTGGTCGTGTCATGCCCTCCACACGACGGCGGAGCAGCAAGGGACAACGCGCTCGCCCGCACATCAGCAACACCTACGCCATGGACTGGTCGTTCGACGCCCTGAGCTGCTACTACCGCAGCGGCTATGACCTGTCGCTCCCGCTGGTGCCCGGAAAGGTGTTCCCGGACACGGCCCCATCCCCTGCCCCCGATCGAGACTACTTCCTTACTTTCAAGGTACGGTGTACTTTGCAGCACCAATGAAAATGATGGGCATATACTGAATTACCATTAAAAAGGCCGATTCCTCCGAATAGCGTAGGTCGATTCGACGAGTCCATAACGGCGTCGTTGCACACTACTGCTGTTGGTATGGAGTATTCATTTTCTTTTCCGTAGTAAGTGTGCTTGCTGGGTGTTTATGTGCTGTTTTTGGCTTTTTACGAGAAAAAACGTCCCTGTCCACGGATAAAACAGTGTTGAGAATACGCTGAAAGATATTCAGGCAGCAGTAGTGGTATTTTGGTTGCGTGCGCTTCATCGATGAGCATCGATCGCGTGATGTAAAGCAAATAATAAAAGCGGCGACCGCCGTGGAGAGGCGTATGTAGGTCTGTTGTGTTACAGTATGCGTGTGTTTTTGTTTTTTGCATCGATCGCGCTAACCGGCTGACCAATGAAAAGACGTCAGTCTCCGTGCGGTTGAAAACACAAAATGCTTCTATTGGTCACGATCTGGAACCCTGTGACCGAGCGTCATGGGGGAGTTTGTACCACTTTCCTTATTAACAACAGCTGCCGTAGCCAAAAACAGAAGAATACTGTACGTTTTGTTCTTTCTTTCAATGAACACAAAGGGATTGCAAACCAGTTTGAATTCCGTCCGCATATGTTAGCATGCGCATTCATCTACAACCCCCCGGCGTGCCCTCGCCTGCCGTACCCTTGCCTGACCTCATACTCTTGTTTCTCGCGTTGTTGATGACGATGACGGCGCTCGCCGCATGTACCTTTTGTTCGCAAAAAGATGCGTCGTGTTTGAGCTGCACTTAGTATCTTCATCTTTTTTTTTTTTGCGGGAAATAATGTATGTATATTTTAGGGGACGCTGTACCTCCGCGGTTACGGCTTGGAGGAAAGGTCCGCCGTGTCCCGCGTCCACGACCCGGCCAACGGGGTGGTGTCGGTGATCAAGTGCTCGAACATGCATGGCGACGAATCCCTCCCGGAGAACCAGGACTACTGCCAGCGATCGAGGAAGCGGTACGATCTGTACGACTACGAGAAGCTCATGAACACGACCTTCGCGCTCGTGCCGGCGGGTAGGTCGCCGGGGAGCTTCCGACTTGGAGAGGTGAGGAGGATAAGGAGGAGGAGGAGGATAATTTTTCAGGAGGATTGTGCTCGGTAGGCGATTATTTCCTTTTTTGTGGATTCGGGTTATTATTCTGAAAATTGAGTGGAAGAAAAGTTGAAGTCGCAAAAAAGAAAAATCGCCTGTACAGCAGTACTGTATGTCACAAGCCGGGAGACATGTGATATTTTTCTTTTATAGATGGTGGACCGACCTGGCGGGTGCTGTTGTTTGATGTTGTGGGGGGTTGGTGTTTGGTCTTGGCTGGTCTACTCTTCCGGTTGGCAGTGGGCTTGGCTTCTGTTTGGTGTTGTTTGGGGATGGTATGTTGTGCGTTGACTAATAGGCTGGTCAGTATCCCCTGCCTGCAATATTGACAACCTCTGCTTGCCGCTGTTCCAACCGGTACTTTTGACGAACCTCCTTCCTCACAGAAGGGAACATTCATCTTTTTTCCTGCTCTCTTCCTATCGAGTGTTGTACCATTGGTTCGACTATGGTTGTTTTTCTGCTCGAAGAATTCGACCAGGTTGCGGTGTCCTCTGCAGACCCTCATAGTGCTCGTCGCTCTTGTGGTAGGCTCGCTCTCACCGTGCTGCGTGCACGAATCGTGTCTTCCAAATCGATGGCCTACGAACCTCTCGTCCATGCGTGTGTGTCAGTTCCTTCTTTTTCTGCATTTTCTTTTCCTAGGTTATGAGCGCCGGCGCGATTCCGGTGTTCGTCGTGAGGGATTGGATCAAGCCGTTCCAGGAGCAGATCGACTGGCCGTCCTTCTCGTTTGTGTTCAGCCCCGACGACGTGGGGCCCATCATGATGGAAACCTTGCGAGCTGTCCAGCCGGCCCAGCTGTTGGAAATGCAGGTGATTTTTTGCCTCGTCCCTGTTGTTGTTGTTGTTGTTGTTGTTGCTGTTGCGGTTGTTGTTGTTGTTGTTGTTCCTGCTCGTGTTTGCTGCGTTATTTTGTCTCGTCTTCCTTGTGACCGTCGTTCGTTGTCTTGTTGTTCCCGTTGTTTTGTGGTGGTGGCTGCGATATACGAGCGGTAAGCCCAGACTTGTCTTGTGGGTACGCAGCTGAGATAGATGGGCCGGGTGTGTATGCTGGCGGTCCGCTGCGACGGTCTTGGCTGAGCGATTGGCTGTTCGTCGATACATCCGCATGAGATGGCGAGGCAGAAATTGCGCTGAAATTCCGGGCCCTCCCAGAATCGATTTGGCCGAGCAAAGCAAGCAGCAGCGGCCTGTAGATCCCTCTAGCGCTTGAGAGAACTGTGGAGTACGCAGAGCAATGCCGACCTATTTGGTTCGGAAAACCTTTGGTGGATCGCTAGGCGGGCTGGCTTTGGAATACGGGCGCGAACACGGTGCGGGATGTGACGAAGCATGCGGAAAAACGTTTTAGCAAACTAGACTTACTGGAGCCCCCTCGCTCAACCACATCCGCCCCCTCGACGTGCCCCCCTCACGTGCCGCCGCCGCTGCCGCCTTCCTTACTCCGAAAAAACACGCTACCACCTCCCGGTACAAACACCCGCCGGTCACAGCGCAAATCCCTGAGGGCCTACTGGAAGATTTTCGGCGGGGTGACCAACTACTCGGTGATCGCGAGTAACGCCATCGACATGCTAGTCCAAAGGATAGGGTACCACTAAGGGGAGGGGAGAGCTGGGTTGGCGGCAAGGCTTCGTCGATTTGTGGCCTCCTTGACCTGAAAGGGCTGGCAAGCAATACCTCGGGGCAGTGGCCGAAGCCGGTGTTCATGCGACAAGTGTGCTGCGAGTTGAGCTCTCTCTCTCTCTCTCTTTCTATCTCCGCCGATAGTTGCTGGAAAGCCCGAAAGGCCTAAAGACTCCTCAAGGTTGAAGAGGCTGGTTGGCGCTAGTGACGGACTTCTGCACCATACCGCCGGTGACCGGTGGCCGTGGAGTGGAGAGGAGTGCCCTTTGCGGTCGCTGCTTTTTCCCGGGAGGACGTAGCTCCCCGTGCATCTGTTACGCTCCGCGGTAGAACGCCAGGANATTGATCGGGTTGGTTTTTTGTGTTGGCGACGCTACCTTTTGTTCGTTCGCCCGCGACTGTATCATTCATGTCCGTTGTTTCTTACGAGCAAATACGTATGCAATATATATATATATATTTTTTTTTCTCCCATCATTGGGCTCTGTGGTCTGCTCCTCTGGCCCCTATCCTCCACTTCTACCAGCTAGATGACCCAACCGGGGTCAAATAGGAGAGGGGGGTTGGACCCCCTCTTGCGGTTCCTGTCTGAGATATATTTNCTGTGTGTGTATGTGTGTTTTTTTTTAATAATCTGGGATTCCGTGCTGCAGCAGATACAACAGAACGTTCTCCAGGACACTCGGGACGGGTACCCCCCCGCCCGCCCCGGGTCGATATTGATCGGGTTGGTTTTTTGTGTTGGCGACGCTACCTTTTGTTCGTTCGCCCGCGACTGTATCATTCATGTCCGTTGTTTCTTACGAGCAAATACGTATGCAATATATATATATATATTTTTTTTTCTCCCATCATTGGGCTCTGTGGTCTGCTCCTCTGGCCCCTATCCTCCACTTCTACCAGCTAGATGACCCAACCGGGGTCAAATAGGAGAGGGGGGTTGGACCCCCTCTTGCGGTTCCTGTCTGAGATATATTTATCGCGAAAAGGGTACAGCAATCCCTTCCCTCGCGACGTATGAAGTCGATCGAGTTTACTAACAACGAGCTTCGCAGCGCGTCGCTTGCAACGGAGACCAGGATTTAATTAGCGAGAACAAACTCTTTCTGTCGGGACTCGAACCCATGACCTGGCCCTTAGCAGGCTGCGAGGCTACCCAAACATGATACGATGGGTTTCGTTTTTTCTGGAAGCGCGGGTTGTCGTGTTGCCGGTCGGGCAGGGCGGGGGCCAATAAAAAGGCGATTTGTTCAAAACGCGATGGGCATTTTGTTTTGTTTTTCGGTGTGTTTGCCATGCCGAGGGAAGGAAGAGAGATGCCGCATTCGTTTGCTTCTTTTTCGTGAAACGAAGCGGCTCTAGCCACGCGAATACCGAACGAAGAACGCCGTAGCGGGGATTTGTATTGTTGTTGCGGCCGACACCTGTGGAAAAACGGTGGTCATAGACATGTGTTGGTTCCGGGGCATGCTTGGTCTTGTGAGATGACTGCCGGGTCCTGCGCTGCCCAAGCAGGAAAAGTGCAATGTGTGCGAGGTGGCCGGCAGCAGCAGCAGGAGCCGCAGCAGCAGCAGTGCGTGAAGCGAAGCACTTGCAAGAGGTCCGTGCTTTCTGCAGAAAGGAGACGCATTGTGCATGTATTCGCGCCGGTGGTGGGGTCTGTGTGGCGGAGGGGGGCTCGGCCCAAGGATTCTGTGCTCTACTAGTTGGGTCTTTTTCGAATGTCGTTGTCTGGATGAAGAGGGTGTGTTGGGGTGTTTGGCTTCGCTGGGGAGCGAGGTGGTGTACAGTACGAGAGTGGGAAAATGCAAGATGACGAAGTAGAGACGCCCGTGACCGTTCGGTGTCGCGTTGTCATTTGTGAGAGGGAGAAATACCTGTGTGTGGTCGTGTCACCCTGTGGTATGCGTAGGCCCGGACGCAGTGCAAGCGGGTTAGGGTGCGTGCCACTTACGTACAGTCCAATCGGAGGAGAAACACGCTTTTGCCTAATTTTAGTTCTTCCGTTGCTTTACTTTTCCATGGACATGAAGAAATGATCGTTTTCCGGATTTGTGGGGATGGTTGCAACGTGCTTCGGGTCCGGATCGTTGCTGCTGCTCTACTTGTTCCCGTCGTTCCCCTTGTTCAGATTGATGTCGTCTTCAAGGTATTTGTTTCCCGAAGCGGATGTTGATTCTCTGTGTGAAGAGGGAGGTGTTTATGGCTTTTGTCCTGTTGGGTCCGTGCTGTTGCCGCGAAGGTAAGATGTTTCGATTGTTCGTTATTCATTCCGTACCATGTGTAGCCCTTGTGGTAGCGCATTGAAAAGTTATCCATGTTTCCGTTCATTTTGCCCGCTGTCAGAGACAAACGATGTACTCCTAGGACGGGCACCGTGTTCCCTAGCTGTTGCGTACAAAGTGAAATCATGATGCAGCTGCCTGTTGGCTGCAGCAGGTGTCGCTTTCTTCGTGTTGTGCACCCGTTCGACAAAACTATAGGGGCATGGATGGGAAGGTTTGAGGTCTTGCGGTCATCTAACATTTGAGGTTTTACGGTACACTTGGTTGTAGAATGGAAACCCTGTCCTGCGTGTCGCTAAAACAAGAAAACGCGATTGGGGAATGGGCAGGGATTTCACAGGTGGAGTTTCGTTGGGTAGGAGAAGGAGGGAGGGGGAGGGGAAGAGAGAGAGGGGGGAGAAAGAAAGCAAAGGAGGCTCGAAGGCCCGCCAAAGCCACGCGCTCGTTTGATCGCCTCACACCTACTGTACATTATTGCAGCCCCGAATGCAGCACTCACCATGCCTAGAGTCATCATCTACGATAGTGTTATGATCTACGACAGGTTGTGTAGGTCACGGGTGGTAGATGTCGATGGAATGACCGGATCAGCACAAAAACACCAGATTCCGGAGTTTCTCGTAAATAACAACAAGGGCGCCTTCCGGGATATGCCGGGGAGGGGTTGAGATTGATAATGTTGCCAAACCACCTAAGCTCTGAAAATTCAGTTGTGGGTTGCTCTCGGTGTGTAGATGCGATATTCGGTCTCAGATTTTTAATCCGGGGTTGGGAAGGTGGGTTTTCAGCGAAACTTGGTGATTTGTCTTACTCAATGTATAGGGACACGCAAATCAGGGGACACGAACTTTCTGTCCCCCCCCGGGGACAAAACGGGGATTTGCCCATATCTTGCCCATTTTAAGCGCTTTTTTGACCGCTGTTCCGGTAGAACAAACCCTACAATTTTTGCAAACTTTGCTGGCCACTTCCGACCAGGGGACACGAACTTCATGTCCCCCCCCGGGGACAAAACGGGGATTTGCCCATATCTTGCCCATTTTATGCACTTTTTAGGCCGTTGTTCCGGTAGAACAAACCCTACAGTTTTTGCACATTTTACTGGCCACTTCCCACCAGGGGACACGAAATTTGTGTCCCCCCCCGGGGACAAAACGGGGATTTGCCCATATTATTACCACCAAGAGTAAAGGGTAGCGCACAATACTTGCAAACGTTGCGTTCGACACCACACCAGAAAAAGCAAGAAGAACAACAAACGTCGACGAGTTCCATTCTTGTGGTTGGCAGCCAACACATCCATCCATCCCTAGCCCACCTCCGGGAACCTCTTCTTCGCGATACTTACGCGACCTCTTGAGCTTACGTATTGCGCTTCCTCCCGCTCCCCCTCCTCCTCCCCCTCCTCCTCCTCCTCCTCCTCCCCCTCATCGTCCTCCTCCTCTCCCTCATCTTCCTTCTCCCCTCCCCCACCCACCTCCCCCATGCTCTCGTCAAGCGTAGGCGCCACTGGGGACTCGTCCGAAGATATGACCGGAAGAATAACGCCGGTCAATTGAGTCCCAAGCGTGCGTCTCCCAACCATCTCTTTTCCCGACTTCTCCATCACCTCGCCAACCAAGTCGGGGTACACCTTCGCTACCATGCAGTCACCGTAGCAGCCTATTCGGCAAGTCGAGCAGTAGCACGATGCGCCCCGAACCCGCAACTTCCAAGATCTGGTGAACTTCTTGGGGGCGGCCCATTTCCTTGCCCTGGACTCGTCTACCACCCACTTCCTAGCCGTCAACACCTTGTCTCCGGCCGCTCCCACCACAAAATCGTCTGTCTGCACCCCCACACTAGTAGCCCACACAAGACTAAAGGTATCCTGCACGTCCTCCTGCTCGTCCTCTGTTCCCGTGAAAAAGTACAGCTTGGAACTTCCAGGGATCCCCGTCAGATCTATCGGTGGGCGAGGAATTTCCTTGGGGCCAAACTTCCTGACCTCGAAGCTCTTGATCCGGTAAGGGGACCAGGTTGTGAAGTGGCCTTCACGCGCCTTGTCCGCCTCCACGGCGTAGCCTAGAAGAAACTCGTGCGCGACGTCGACGTCGGGGATACGCGTGCCATGCATCTCCGCGTTCCGAAGTAGGCGCTTCATGAGCGCCCCGATGCCATCATGCGTGCCCTTGAAGTGAGAAGTGACGGCGAAGTTGTGCAAAATGCGGACACCAAGCCTCCTCAGGCTCTGCGCCACTGCTCGAAAGTTCCGCTTCCCCTTGTACTGCTTGCCGCACCCGTCCGTAAACATGTGCACTCGTGGGGCCGCACTCCCAGCGGTGGCCGCAGACTTCGGTCCCGTCGTGTAGTGCGCAACAACGACCTCCATCGCTGCGTGATGGAAGTCGAAGTCATGGTTCGGATCGCTGGACAAAAAAATCCAAGCGTCTGTTTCGTGCTCCCCACGGTTGTCGGGGCTGTGATGTACAAGGGCCACCATCATGGTCGTTGTTGGTGCGGTAGCACATGTCAGCACGACGCGTGCTTCATGCCTGTACTTCTCGATGAAGTCCGTCTCGATCAACAGCTCGCCCTGACGAAGTGTAGCCATGCACATCTTGTGGGCTTGGCGCTGCCACTTGGCTAAAGGCATGGTGCTCCATGTACTGGAATGGAAGGAAGGGAAAGTGAACAGGGGATGGGTTGGCAATAGATATGATATTGTGTCGTCAATAGACATGTTATTATGAATCGCTACAAAGAGCGCTCCTTATTGACTAGAATAGTCAACAGTGTAAACCTGCCGGGCATACTATTGTTGAACTCGCCTTCACGGAGTGTGCCATGAACTCGTCCCACAGGTCTTCGAGCTTCCCCGTCTGGGGTAGCTGCTGCTTCTTGTGCACCTTGCCGTCAGGCATGGTTTGGTCTTCGAAGCGAATCCATGCTACTACCCGCTCTCTGTTTTTCGCAATAGCGGTGCAGTTGGTCGGGATGCCTCCAGGCTTTCCGAACCCGCACTCGGAACACTTCATCGCAGCGCATGCCGGTTTCCGACCCCAAAACTCAAATCCCCCGTCGGAATCCCCCTCCAGCAAGTTTACCTTCTCGCACGCCAGAGCGTCAGAAAACTTGCTCAGGTCCTGGCACATGACAGACCACCTCTTACAACCAAGATCGTCACACCAGTTACACTCACAGTCGCAGTCTTGGTGTATCGACCCCATCAAGAACGAAAGGGCCTCGAGATACAACGTCTGCTGCGTGTGGATCTGACACGCACACTGCGATGCCGTTGGGTCCACTGAAAAGGGGCGGTGAAACATCGCAACAGACCAAAAGCAGAGGAGAACAAAAACGTCAGCTCTTATTCCTCGTCAACAAAGCCATACGTCAGCAACATTGATCGGGTTTATCAGGTACCAGAGGTACACGTTTTGGGCACTCTAACCGTAGAACCAGATTGACCCACCTAAACACCCGCACCGCGTTGACAGAAACGTCGTCCTGCCAGGGTCGGTGAAGTTGCTGTCCTGCTCAAGTAGCCTTGACTTCAGCGCCAAGTACCGCCGGCTCTCGAGGAACATCCTCCACACACTGTCTCCCTTGTGCATGAGCTGTCTCCGAGGGTGAGAGGGTGCGTCTCTCTTCTTAGACTCCTTGTACATGTCCCTGGCTCCTGCAGGGGGCGAAACCAAACGTTTTTTTCTCTAAGAGACTCCATCACATCTGTAATGTGGACAAACGAACGGGTGTATTGCAGTTCACAGCACCGTGTGGCCGTGTAGTACAACAAACGTAGCGGTAGACCTTCGCAACATAAAACACAACTGCCGCATACAACCGAGACTACGGTAACAGCAACGCAACGCAGCAACTTGCCTGAGTTCCCTGTTGCACGGGAAACGTCGTCGGAGTGCCAGAAAGCCCTGGCGAGAGCCATGACCTCGGGATTCGTCACGTCACTCCGTGTCTTGCGCTCGTTGTACACGTAGCATCCCTCACTCGCAGCGATCTTGGGGGCGATGTCGTGGTTCGTGTTGTGCATCCGCCACCGTGCGTCGCTGAAAGTCTCGTGCCGAATGCCGAGACTGTTAGCTCGCTCGGCAAGGCTCACTCCACCAGACTCAACGGGCTTGCACCGCTGGCCGGGGTGGCACACGTCCGTGTCAGTACACGTGTGCTCTCCCGCTCCGGCTGCTACAGCGAGCGCTGTCTGGTAAGTGGTCCACCCTATCGAGCTGTTGCAGTGCTGCTTCAGCGCTTGCAACGACGCGCGGAGTGCACGAGTGTTGGCCGCGTCGATCGCCGCCACCTTAGCTGCTGCCTGCTCTGCCGCGCCAGCATCCAGCATGGCCCGTACTCGCTCCATCAACACGGGGTCGTTCTGCATCAAATCCATCGCGCTGGAACGACGCTCCTCCGCAACCTGCGTACAACGTATCAGTAGTTTTTGGAGGAGTCGGGGGAACATATGAGTGAGCGGCAAATAAACACCACGGTAGCAGCGTCATTGCAGCAGTTACAGCAGTCGCCAAACCCGTGCAACTTTTAATGCGCTTTCTGTGCTTAAGATATCGACGTGGTGGAATGGACCTCAATTCTTGGGGGCAAAGAGGACGGGCAGCGCGTGTACCAAATTTCAAATTCAAGAACAGAGCAGCTGGCACGAACTGGCGCGCAAAGTAAAGCAGTCAATCAAGCACTCTGGAACACCTTTCAGCAGCACCTCAGAAGTGACTCAAAACTCACCGCTTCCTCCCTCGAAGTCTCTGGGGTAGCACCGCTTCTGGTCCCGCCATCATGAGCCAATGCTAGAGGGTCGGAGAGAGCTGCGTCCGCCCCCTTGCGCTTCGCCTTCTTCGCCGCAGCAGATGAAGCAGCAGCAGCAGCAGCAGGCTGTCGTTTCCCGCGTTTCGATGCTCTCTCTCGGATGCCTTCAACGTGCTCTCTACCCTTTTCGAGGAGCTCAACTTCATCAGCAACCACAGATTGCACAGGTTTTCCAGCTGCCTCGGTGGTACCCTTTCTCAACAGCTGGCTGATTAGCAGTATCCCGCGGATGTGGTTCTTCCGCTGCTGTCTCACTACCCTCTCTTCCCCTCGGATTTCGATTGTGCGGTCTACCTCCATGAGGCTGCCACGAGCCACGGCCAGGCCCAAGTCGGGACGGCCGTCCTAGAACGAGATTAGGTCTGATGACCTCGAGAGTGGTCTCCTCTGTATGTAATTCGACCAAGCGGAGTCGATTGCCGTGGAGAACAAGGCTTGCGTCGGCGATGTTTGCGGTGAAACAGGATGCGCCGCATCGTTTATCTTGAAAAATGTGGGGGAGATTTTTTTTTTTTTCGTGTTTTTTTTGTCGTCGGTTGGTCTCGCCGA